CGCTGGCAGAGAGCATTTGAATTTTCATTGTTTACACACTGTGAATTTAGCTTCTGGTCTGAAATTGTCTGCCACATTGAAGCCTTTGAGAATATGGAGAAGAATAAGACAATTCGTCTTTTTTTCTTTTTTTAACACATATGACTGATTATCTTTGTTGTAATTTTACTTCATGTTCTTTTTATAATCACTACTTTCATTTTAGAGTAGTAACTGATATAATTCCCTATCTGTTTAGATCATGAAAACATCGGGAATAATGTGGAATATTTTCTTTAAAAAGTGTTAAAAACCAAATGTCTGGCAAATAGTTTGTTCAAAGTTTTATGATTTTCCATTTCTATTCTGGAAATCTATACTTTACCACCTAAATTTCTAGAGTTGTTCATAGCATTTAAGCAGAACTCCCTTGAAAACGGTAATGAAAGCTGCTTAAAAAATTGATGACAAGCCACAGCCAGTGCTTTTTGTAGTCGAATTACTGAGGCACTGAGTTTCTGTGCGCTTTCAGATCACAGCGGGTGGTACTTCCTTGATGATAAGTTTGCCCGTGTCATTATAGTGATATGGCTTAATTTACTTCTAGCATGGATAATGACAGTAACGTTTTTAAAGTCAAAGGCCTTATGATAAAGCCAGAATTTTAGCTGTATTAATTGAAAATCTCATTCCTGTAACTAGAGATTTATGCATCATTATTAACTATGGGTCTATCCAGGAACATATAGAATATGTCTGTACACGCAGAAGTTCTCCTGTCAATAGTTTTGGTCCTTTCTCTTAAGCTATAAATAAAGCAGCAACATTAAAACTGCTGTCAAGTTACTGGAGTTAGTGAGTGCAGTGCTGGAGCCGAGGAGAGGGGAGAGGAGCCTGCAAGCCAGGGGAAGCAGTTCCAGCTGGGAGCATTCCAGCGCACCCCGCCCCGCTCCTGCCAGAGGGATGCAGAGAGGGATAATGGGGTCACAGAGCCCATAACGGTGCCACCCAGCACCCTAAAACTTTTGGGGGAGGTGACATGCAGCATCAGTGCCAGGTCCCACACCTCGGGGCTGTAGCTACCTCTCTGCAGTCATGGCCGGAGGAAGAAACCCAGCAGCATCACCCTCCCCTCGTCGTGCAGAAAAGCGGCCTGCCCGTGATTTTGGGAACAGTCACTCAGGTTGTGGGGTATGTGCTGGGTCTCTCATATCTTTTCACATTGGGGTCAAAGCAGCTCAGTATCTGCTTTACTTTCTTAAAGTGGAGGACTTTGTGTTTTATTCTGCAAGAAGCACAAACAAATGCTTAAATCCAGCCTGCACCTGATGCTCATATGCACTCAGGACCTCTGTAAGCAAGAGGCAGAGCATTTGCAAAGTTTCCAAAGGGGATGGGTAGACACAGGCGCTCATCAGTGCTGATTAACGGACAGAAGCAGCAGAATGCGCCAGGGCTCAGGAGTCCCAATCAAAGCCTGTTTGGAAGGGCTCTGGAGAGAGGAGACACGGAGCAGAGAATGTCCTCACTCTGCTTCTGTCAGCTCCCAGCAGTTCATTGAGCAAATTAGGTTTCACTTTCAGATCCACAAATGACAGTGGATGGCATTTACCAGATGGCATGTGTAATGGGACTGTCACACCGTTATAGGTTTAAAAATAAAGTCTGGGAGGCAGCTAATGAAAGTACACTGCCTAATTTCAAGAATTTTGTTCTATCCATGTCAGGTGTTAGGCACTCCACTTGTGAGCGTTGAAAGACTTCCGTGTGTGTACTAAAAGACATAGTCTAGCATGTAACTACGTTGGTTTACTTTAAGTATTGGCATTGAAATAAGCCAATTATATCATTCCTAAAAAAAGTGAATTTTCTCCTGAATGACTTTCATCCAGCTTACAAGTGAAATGCATTGTTTAGCTGTAACGTCATCACTGGGGATATTTAATATCGAGAATCTTTCTCACAAACCTGATGATGCTACTCTGTAGATTTGTCTTTACCATTTTTCCTCATTTGTTGAAAAATACAAACTGAGCAACTCAAAAGTCTACTTTTTCAAGAATATTTTCATTTCATATTTCATTCATATTTCAATGCGTATTTTTAAAATATTTTTATTTGATATTACCTCAAACTGAATACATTTGTGTGGGACCTCACTTTAAAATATTGAATTGGGGAGATGACAGTGAGGTAGTGAGAGACTAAGGAAACACAGTATACAATACATAGAATTTTCTAAACTACTACTGGCTTTTTTCTTTATTTATTAGTTTCTCACAGTTTTTCCACTGACAACACAAAAGCAAAAAATAAATAATAATAATAAAAAGGATTATATGCATTGTATTTCTCTCTTTATTCCTTTCATTTTGTTAGGCATTTTTGTGTTAATTAATGGGCTGCTCTAGCTCTGATTGAAGTCATTTGGGAGGATTCCTTTTATTTTCAGTGATGATTTTATCGTGCCCATGATGAATTGTTTGTTGCTTTTCCACAGACTGGCTTCTGGGACTGAAAGGAAAAAGCAGGGCAAATTTACAAATAAATACGGTCAGCATATCAATGTATATCAGTAGTAGAAAGGTAAATTCAGCTAAATCCTGGTGAGTAAAACATGGTTTTCCTCTGTGCGTTATATTCACTTACCTGCATTCTGAGAAAATGGTGCAAACAATGGAATTGGATTGTTAGTGAAGAAAATTCTCAATTACTAGGAAACAAAGTATCAGTCAGCTTAATTGTAAATTCAATCTTTTTCTGCTTCTTCTGTGTATAGGTAAGGTCTAACATGTATCACTCTTTGATTGTATGCAATGGTTTCTCAGTGGCACGGGGAAAACCACTGACACAATTATACCACCCTAAAGTCTTTCTTGCTCTCAGGATCTTATTTCCCCTACCAAACCTGTATGGAGGGCTCACAGAAATCTATTTTTTTGTGTCCTTTGTGTGCATACTGTCAGTTACAGCATTTCAGGGGCTTTTTCTCAGCCACCTTTACACAAATTGCTGGTGCACATGACTGGTGATCACACAGGAATTGCTTGTAGGTTGAAGGACTCAAGACAACTTCAAGGGGCTTGAATCTCAGAGAATATCAAGCCTCAATAAGCTGTCTTAATTTTAAAGCTTAAAAAACATATTTTTTTTGATATTCAATGTAGTTCAATGGCAGGTTTCCCCTGCATATCAGCAGCATGCCACCAAACTGTCAGAGCCCAAGAAAGAAGGAAACATGGTTTCTAACAACCATTCCTCCATGGGTCTTTCATACAGATGGTTCCAAATTTTGCCATCCCCACCGGCTGCACACCTGCATTGCATATTTAGTTGGAACTGGAAATACAATGTATACAAAAGAGAAGTCCTGCCATGAAGACTGGTGATACCTCACCTTGAATACTGTGTTCAGGTTTGGGCCTCTCACTATAAGAAAGACATTGAGGTGCTGGAGCGTGTCCAGAGAAGAGCAACAAGGCTGGTGAAGGGTCTAGAGAACAAGTCCTGTGAGGAGTGGCTGAGGGGACTGGGATTGTTTAATCTGGAGAAAAGGAGGCTGAGGGGGGACCTTATCACTCTCTACAACTACCTGAAAGGAGGTTGCAGTGAGGTGAGTGTTGGTCTCTTCTCCCAAGTAACAAGTGAAAGGATGAGATGAAATGGCCTCAAGTTGCACCAGAGGAAGTGTAAATTGGATGTTAGGAAAAATTTCTTCACTGAAAGGGTTGTCAAGCATTGGAACAGGCTGCCCAGGGATATAGTGGAGGCACGATCCCTGGAGGTATTTAAAGGACATTTAGATGTGGTTCTCAGGGACATGGTTTAGTGGTGGACTTGGCAGTGTTAGGTTAATGGTTGTATGATGACCTTGAGGATCTTTTCCAACCTAAATGATTCTATGATCTATGATCTTCACCCACACATGGCGTGGCAGCACGCTGGCTCTGCTGTTGGGATCTTGGCTGGGCGTACAGGTGATCTTCCCCCAGCTGCTCGTGCTTGGTGCTACCGCATGATATTACATTATGGGGAAAAGAAGGAAAGTAAGATAACCACTGTCTCTGAGGTTAAGATGTAACCATTTCATCATTGCAGTGCTTCTTCCACTTTCCTGAGCAGTACTGTCAAACTCATTGGAAAAGCTACAACCAGGTATGGTAGTAAAATGCGAGTGACTGAGTGGGGTCAGACCAAAGCTCATCTTGGCCCAGCCTACTGTCTCCAAGAGCAGGCTGCAGATAATTGAAAAACAGAGAGAAAGAAGCTGACAACTACAAAATGAACCTATTCTCATGCACCATCCCATTTTTATATCATTCAGCCCCCTGGAGACTTTCTGAACAAGAAGTTGCATCCAGACCCCTGTGCTAAGGCCTATAGCACCCTGAAGCATTCTGTGCTGATGACTGTAGCAGCCTGTGGTAAAGACTACAGCATCCTAAAGACTGTAGCATCCTATGGCAGTGAATTCTGTGGTTCACTCGTGCATTGCAGAGTAATGATAATTCTCTTTGTATAATACTGACTGATATCAATATCCAAATGCTGCATTTTAAGGACGCATATGTGGTCTTTTTTACTGTGAGAGCCAAAATGGTGTTTAATTCATTTTAAAAAACCAAACCAAAACAAAACAAAACCATTTGCAAAACAGCAACAGTTATCCATAGCATACAAAATGTAAATGCTTTGTGCTGTGATGTTTGGGTGTCATTAGAATAATTCT